TACCAACACACACACACATACATACACACACACATATATATATATATATATATATATATAAGTTTGAAATTTTTTAAGACTTTTTAGATTTGAATCTAGAAAATATTTTCAACTAATATTTTTAATAATATAATATAATGATAAAATTTACTTAAATAAAATAATCACCTTTAATTTGGAATTTTTTATTTGATATAATGTAAAAAAAACATAATTCTTGAATCTTAAAAACTCATATTTATTATTATAATTTTTTTCATTTATTAATATATATATATATATATATTAAATGCTAGAAAAAAATTAATAAATAAAATATGTAAAAAAATAGAAAAAATTAAAAATTAGTTTATCTGATATAGATTGATTATTTTAATACTTACCTTTTTATTTATTATTATGCTACATAATTTTTCAAAATTTTTCCAACTGGACATTTTAGTAAAATCTATTCCTTGTCCCCTCTCAAGATATTTAGAAGCATTTGGTTCGTAATTTCTACTTTTTATGTGGGTTTTTTACATTACAGCAAAGTAAGTACGTGTTAAAAAAATATATATATATATATATATATATATATATATTTATATATATATATATATAAATATATTTTGGTAGAAAATATATTTAAAGAAAGTATACCATTTCTTTAAATCTAGAGTGGACTCTAAAAAGCATTCCCATTGTAGAACATTCAAAAACATGTAAATAAAATTTAAAAAGACATAGTTGTATTATCTTCTGAAATTAGATATATATAATTATTTTAGTATTAATTAGTCTCTATAATATAAAATTGGTTTATGGTATAAAAATTAATTTTGCATAGATTGATATTTATTTAAATGTTGTACATATATTTAAATATTTATTTATTATTCTTTTTTTAATAAAAATAAAATTTCACAAAATTATATGATAAGTTATAATCAATGTTGTATGTTGAATAAAGATTTTAATATATAAATATACTTTATTTCAAATTAAATTAATAATAATTTATTCTAAAATTGATAATTTAAAATTTTATAATCAAAAATTGAAATAAGAATCTACTTCTTATAATATGTAATTAAAAACCAAATATAAAATATAATATCTATAGCTTGTAGTCGATACAAAGATTTAATTTTAAACATTTTAAAATACATAAAGCTTATAATTTTGTCAACATGGCATTTCACCACCATATTTTTAAATAATTTATTAAAAATAAAGAGTAGAAGCATCACATTTTTATTTTTTATTTTATTGTAAAAATAAATAAAATAAAATAAAAATTATAAAAAAAAATTAATCTATTATAGCTACATGATTTTATTGGACTAAATTTATATCTTTTGTATTAAATTTAAGAAGACTTTAAACTTAGAAGACCACTTTGAAAGGTTATGGTAAAAAAGTCTAATAAATATTTCTTATTTGATAAAAAAAAAATAACCATCCTTTGAAACTCTTAACCTTTGGAGATACAATAATCTTTTAATAGTTTAATATGGTTAATAGACAAAACGAATTAGCTAATAAAAGATATCAAATAAATGAAATAAGATTTTTATAATTCAATATCTTATTTTAATTAAAAGTTAGACAAAGATTTGGGATTTTATTAATGAAGCAATAAAAAAATATATCAATGATCAAACTCTTATTTTGAAAAAAATTTAAAAATCTGAAAAAAAAAAAAAAAAAAAAAAAAAAAAAAAAAAGTGTAGACTTAAAGATTCTACTTCTCCTACATAATAAATCACTTGTAAAAGATAGCCATATTTACTAGTATATTTACTAAGATAAGTAGAATTAGATAGAAGTAAATAGAAATAGATTAAATTATTGTTATTTTTTAAAAAAGCTTCTACAAAACTTTATAGACATTTCACGTATTTGTAAATGATTGATAGATTGATAACTAGGCCAATAATTTGGCCACATGTCATACATTGAGTGACTATGTGGCACATATCAAAAACTTGCCCTATAAATTAGACATGTGCCTTGTAAGTTGGACACATATCATATAACCTATAAGACATCACTATCTAATTTTTCTAGTAGAGTGAGATTTTTTTTGCTTTTATTAATGTATTTTTTTGTATTCAATCTTGACTAAAGACATGTATTCTTTGTTCTTTTATATTAGGCAACAGCTATTCTAGTTTCAATCTTATATTTATTTTTTAGTTTTCTAATTTTTATTTTATTAATATAAATATATATTATTACTTTTAGAATTTTGTTATAATTTATATCCTTAACAATATGCCATAGAACAAGTAATTTGGACCTTTAGCAAATAGAGGTGATACCTCTTTCTTTCAATACAACATTGAAACTCTAGAAAATAGATGTTAACATATTTATTACTTTTAAATGGTATTATTAGTATATTTATATATAAATTATAATTACTAAAATATAGCAACAAAAGGTAGATATTTAGAAGGCTAATTAATTGACATTGATGCATTAAACAAAATTTGTTTGGAATGCCTTGCTTTCATCAATAATTGCTAATTGCTTTTATTATATGAAGTTGTTTGTGAGGTACTTCCAAGAATTCAATTCAACAAAAATAAAGATATTTATAAATAACAAGCTTCTATATAACATCCTAAGACTATGTGTTTGCAATTCAGTATTAATATAAAAAAAATCTTAGTCATATTATACAAGTTTTAATTTTAAAAAAATAATAATAATGAATTAATAGAAAATATTATAAGTACAAAGGTTGAAGATAAAGATGAAGAGTTAGAAGTTTATATTCAATATGAAGTATCATAGATATTTATATTTATTATTATATTTATTTAAAGAAGTAGAAATGAATAGGATGAAATAGAAATAAGTAAAAATAAATTAAATTATTAATAACTTGTTAATAATCTTCTTAGATGTAGATTTAACTTTACATGTATTTGTAGGTGATTGATCAATTGAAAACTTGACCAACAAGTTGGCCGTATGTTGCACATAATGGCTACTTGTATTATAAGTTGGCCATGTGACATATATGTCAAAAACTTATCCTGTAAATTAGACATATGTCTTACAAGTTTGACACATGTCATATGACATATTATCATGGACATATATACATATTTACTCTAATATTTATCTATATGATTAAGTAGAAGTAAGTAAAAGTAAATTTATTTCATAATATTTTCTAGAGATACTTTCTAGAAGCTTAATAGACATTACTTTGACTTTACATGTGTTTGTAGTTGATTGGTAGGTTAAAAACTTGGTCAATAAGTTAATCACATGTTTGTAGCTTGCAAAAGAAGCTTACTATATGGCACACATATAGTTGCCTTACAAATTAAGATATGTGTCTTACAAAGTTAACATGTTTTGGAGGTCCTACAAGACATTACTACATAACTTCTAGTTAAGAGTATATATGGAGGCAAGAGCAAAGCCTTCTTCACTCTTGTCAATGCCTTTCTAGTCCTTTGTCTTGTTTCAAGACTTTCTAATCTTCTTGTCTTTGGCAATAGCCATTCTAATTTAATACTTAATCATCTTTGAATGATTTTCTAGTCTTTGTGAGTAACATAAGAGTGTATTGACATTTTAGTTCTTTGAGGTTCATATCCTTGACACATATATAGCATTGACATGTAGCTCTTTAGTTTGATATTATATATATATATAGAAGTAAGAATAAGGCCTTTTTTATTCTTATCAATATCTTTTTTGTATTCTAGTTTTAAATCAAGATTCTCTGTTTTCATTGTATTTAGATATAGGTATTCAAATTTCAATTTCATGTCTATCTTTGATTTATCTACTTCTTTTCTTTGAATGATACAAGATTTTTTTATTTCTTGAAAGTTTTTTCCTTGATTCAAATCCTTGACATGAGATATCAATAAAAAAACAAATAAAAAAAAAATAAAAAAATAAACTTTTTGGTCTCTATATTGTGATCAAATTCCTAGACATTACAAAGCCTATATAGTTCTCAATGTCTATGATATTAAAAATCCTCTAATATAAATTAATTCCATATAGAAAATATTACATGCTTGATTATAATAAATTTTTATAATCTCATAAATTATTAAAGTTGTACAAAATAATAAGTAATATAAAGATTGAATTACCACTATTAAATAGACTTAGTAGAAACAAATAATATCAAATAATAGAGATTATCAAATTATAAAATATTGAGTTATAAATAAATTTTTATAGTATAAAAGTAATATATATATGTATATATATATATATATATATATATATATATATAAAATAGACCAAACAATTACATTCAATATAGGTTTAAATGTGCTAATTCATATCTTTATTGTAATAATTATAAAAGCTATCAATGATAATAATGATAGTTTTAAAATTTATCATTATTATTAATTATTTTTTGCAATTTATTTATATTTTTTTTTGTAAGTTTTTGTAAAAACTATCTCTTGAAATAAACCTACAACAAAAGACAACATTATTTATGCAAATTTAGAAGAAAATAATAATTATAATAATAATAATAACATCTTTCAAAATACAAATCCAACTAAGTACAATTTCCCAATTTTAATCAATCAAAAACCTTAAAAATCATTGTCAACTTCTTAACCACTTAATATCAAGTTTCTGTAGAAAAACATTAAAACTGGACATTAGAATGAAATTGAATTTAATCACACAAATTGTGATGATTTATTTTTATAAGTTCATCACAATATTTGCCACAACATGAAATAAATAGTGTTTGAGGTATCCTTCAACATGACAATGATCAATGGTGTGTGTGAGCTAAGTGGTCTCCGAGACCGAAAGGGTGGGTAGAGTCCCCCCCCCCCCCAAGACGTCGTGGAAGCGGAAGCGTGACGCCCTCACGCCTCATCCCTACCCGAACCAGGATCAGATTCCTCCCTCGATCCATTCCCCTTTTGTGGACGTCGTTCACTCGCCATCTTCTTCTCGCCCTGCGAATTCGTGGTATCCATGGCGCGCATGAATTCCTACAAAAGCACCCATTTCTTACCTGTTATCAGAGTAGTCTTGACTGTACCCATCTCGCTCCATCTTCCCCTCCTCGTGCATTCTCAAAGCTCAGAGCCATGGCCTCCATCATCGCTGCATCCTCCGTCGTGGCCCCTGCTGCTTTGAGCGCTGCCTCATCGGCTGTGTCGACCTCCGAGTCGACCTCCGTCAAGGCCTTCTCTGGCCTCAAGAGCACTACCTTGTTCTCCAGCAAGGCCCAGACCTTGAGCTCTGTCCAGAATGGCAGCCGTGTGCAGTGCATGCAGGTGTGGAACCCCATCGGGATGACCAAGTTCGAGACCTTCTCCTATTTGCCCCCATTGTCTGACGACGCCATCGCCAAGCAGGTGGAGTACATGATCCAGCAGAAGCTTATCCCCTGCCTCGAGTTCGATGTGGTAAGCTCCCGCTACAGAACTCCACCCTGGGTTCTCTAAGTCTTGGTAATTTTATTAGTTGTGCGTCATGCGGTGTATTATAAGGTGGGCTTTTTCAAAAGATCATGAATTGGCGTCTAGGTGAGTTAGAAGTGGTGGCTTCATACTCGTAGGTTTTTTCTGATGAGTGACACTGTTGAGTGCAGAACGCCAACGGTGTGTCCCGTGCCAATAACTCATCCCCCGGATACTACGATGGTCGCTACTGGACCATGTGGAAGCTGCCCATGTTCGGATGCCAGGACTCCGCCCAGGTGTTGAGGGAGATTGAGGAGTGCAAGAAGACCTTCCCCGGCTGCTTCGTGCGCGTGTTAGGCTTTGACAACGTGAAGCAGGTGCAGATCTGCGGCTTCTTGGTTGCCAGACCCAACTAAGCCATTCGTCGACACTAATCACGTAGGTGATTTTAGGGCCTTGGGATTCTCGTGTTTCCATGTACCATTCAAGCCATTGGCTATGGAATAGATTCTGTGTTTAATAACAAATTCTGCTGAGATGGATTCACCACAAATTCCTGAGTTGACCTTGATTTTCCAAATTCTGTAAATGTATATCCATTTGAATGCTGCGAAAAGTGGAAGAAGCAATGCAATGCGAATCGCGCAAGGGATATTAACAGTCTTGAGCGTGAACCTGCGTCAGAAGTTTAAAACACTGTTCTCAATATCAACAGAAAAACAATCACATCTACAACCAATTTGCTGCGCTGATGCTCCCTTTGCCAAGCTATCCCATCAGAGCTTTGCATAATTTTCCAAGCTGTCACAAACATCTTGTTGACGGTTTCCCTTCCACGTGCAATGCGGTGACTAGTATCTTCCTCATGTCAAATTCTATTAAACCTTCAAACTCACATGTATAGAATCTTTCTGTACATTAAACTCTTCTTGACAAGTCGGGCGAATTTGAACGTACTCCCTGAAACAACAACAGCCATTCCTTCTGAACGCACCCTGATAATCTCCACGTAAATCGAAAACATTCAAATTCACAACCTTTCCCTGCCATGCACTTTTTCTTACTAAATTAAACTGGAACAACCTATATAAAGAAGTGCGGAAACAAACTTCCTCAGTAAAAACAGATTTTTTTTCTTTTTTGCAGGCTACTGAAATGAAATTACTCGACAAAATGCTGTTGTCAAATTCCTCGTTCATGTGATAAAATACAGAGTTCCACCTCACTACGGTAAACGTAAATATCTTAAAATTGTACTCGACGTCAATAAAATATGCACTGAGAAACGAACCCGGATTGGGTTTGAAGTTATTGATCTCTTTCTTAGTTTCTTCGTCTGCTTCTTCATCTTCTTCTTCTTCTTCTACTCAGGCTTCCGTTTAGAACATGTGATATTAATTGTACAAATAAAGCCATAGATTCACCTCGCTCTCTCCTCTCCTCCCTTTCAGCCGGACAATCATTGATGCGTCAACGCGTGGCGACGTTAAATTCCTTGAAGGATTGGTAGATTAGCTTCTGCTTCGGTAGACCTAGTGTGATCTGCTCATATCTAGATTTCTGTGTCTAGCCAAGGTTGGAATCGTGGCTTGGAGGAGTTGCCCTGCAGACGCGATGCAGTAGTGATTTGCAGGCAGCCATGGACATGGAAGGAGATGCGGCACTCCCCACGCCCTCGTCTCAACGCTCGCTCCATGTGAGATTCTTAGTGACCCCCCTCATTCCGCACTAATCCTCGCCTTGATAGGTCTTGTTTGCTGAAAGCTGTTGAATTCCTCGTCTCTTTCGATGTTCGGGTGAACCTTGTTTGCACACCAGATTGTCACCGCGCACTGGATGAAGGCACCACCAACCTTCCAATTTTGTCGTTTGAATTTTCTTATGGAGGTCTTATCTTTGTTTTATCGTTCGATCTCCCTTAGTTGATTTGGTTTTGGTTTTATTTTATTTCCTATTTAATGGATCGATTTGGGAGGGGTTGTGTCAGTCATGTAGCTTTCCTTTGATTTAGGTTTTGCATGTTGCATTGTCATTTTGGCCTCAAAGCATACTACGCGAGCTTGCTGAAAGAGTGTGGCTGGTGGCGTTTGTGGAAAACATATATATATATATATATATATATATATATATACATATATTGATGTGTGTGTGTGTGTGTGTGTGCATAGTTTAGTAACCAAAAAGCGAATTTCGGAATAAGTATCTCTTGTGGTTAAGATGGACTATTATAGATCATGTCGATTTTGAATGTTTTACAGGCCTCTTCTTTGATTGTTTTAGGCTACCATCGAAAGGAGAATTGCATGGTTGGCGTATTTAAATCGCACACCTTCCTCTAGGTTAGAATTAGTGCTCCTGGGAATACTCTTTTCGAATTAGTGTTTTGTCAAACCTTCTTCCTCAGGTTTCTAACTAACCGATCCAATATGTGGGAGCGAGTGCGTGTACTGCACCTTCTGGTGCAGTATATAAAATTTGAAGTATTTCATTCTGTGAAGGACAGACAGTAGAAAAAACTAAAAGCAGGTCAAAATATGAACTAAATGCATATCCATTCTAGTATGTAGGAGCAGGTGCAAATGCCTTGTTTCTGGTATCAATTTCCAGGGCTTAAGTTTTCCCGCTAGAATTACCACATTTGCAATCCTGTCCTTCAATCACTTGCGGACCTGAATTTCGTATTAAATTCATACGTTTACGGATTAAATTGCAGTGTTAGAGTCTGTGTGTAGATGATAATAGAAACAGGCTAGGTGACCATCATCAGCTCATAGTAAGTTGAATATTTTTATGCTTTTAAGCCTATCCTTTGCATGAAACTGTTAAAAAGTATCCATTGTTGTTGGGGCACAACAGACTTGCATAATCACCTAAAGTTTCATAATTTTTGAAATGATCATTCTTGTCTTCTACGGTGTGATACACTCCTAAAACGAGGGTGAACACTTAAGGCATATATTGTTCTTCTTGTTTTGTACAGGAATCGCCTCGGGTTCCGTCTGAATCTTCAGTTGGTTGTTAATGCTGAACCTTTTTGTGGGTATTGCAGTTTGTAGAGGTAGTTGGTCCCGATGGAAAGAAGAAGCGGTTCGCAGCAGGAACACGAGCGGGTTTTGCGGTGGATAGGTTCAACAAGCTGAACCCTAATGACTCCAAGCCCGTTGTATGCATCCAAGCATGCAAGGATGGAGAGGAGCCCATCGAGTACGGGCCTGACGTAGAGCTTCATCTGCATGATGAGGCTTGGACATTTCAGTGTGTTTCAGAGCGTAAAATTTCTTACCATGGCTTTCTCTCTGTACTACTGTCCCATTTTCCTAGTTATTTTGGGTGGACTAGACTAATTCAATTTTCAATCACGTGTCAAGTAATCAGTGTTGAAATGTTGATGTGTCACCACGCCATGAGTGTTACTCTAATGGTCTAGATCGATGCCACTAATCATTTAAGTACCCCTGAAGTTGACACACCGGACTTTGATCCGTAGTTGAAATCAAAGATAATTCAAAGTGATTAAGTAAAATTTCTGAAACATGTTTATTGGCGATTTTTTTATAATATAATCCCTCTCAGAACAGCCAGCAGAAGACTGTATGTGCGATTATGGATTCATTAGACGAGAAAATTTGCTTTTTTGTTACAAGTGAACCTCTCTGTCGATAAAGCAAGTCCGTGGATCAAAGTGTTTTATTTTTCCACTGTACTAGATATAGAGATCTGTTGTATTCGTCACGGAACATTCAAAATAGCTTATTCAGCACAACAAAAAAGTGTTGTTTTAAAAATTCTCTACCTCTAGTTCATGGACTCGTAAGTTTTTTGTTACAGAAACTGAGGTGTCCCATAACCATGGCATTAAGACGACCATAGGAGAAACTACTTATTATAGTAAATGTTTGTTTATCTTTGTCAGTTGTTAACAGTTCCTCGGTTCGATGTGGTTTTGCAGATGTCTTTCCCTTGCCTAACAACAACGTAAAGGCACGGACAGAAGTTACTCAAGCCGTTGAGAAAGAACTTTATACGTATAGTCAGACTCCTTGGGCGACCAATGAAGGCAAGTTACACAATTCTTTTACTTCAAGGAAAATCCCGAATCTCGAGTTTATTTTGTGCTTGGCAACAGGAATTTCATGCCTGTTCTCTTTATTATTTTAGATTGAACAATTGTATAGTAGGTGATTTTAGTTTTTCATGAATACATAATCTTACTAATTTTGGAACCCATATGTTCCTTTTCCCACTGTGCTATTCACACGTGCCTGTTCATGGTGTGAGGTGAGTAGGATAGTCTAAGAAAAATCGTACAATGGTGAAGTGATGTTTTGTTAAACATTCGATCGCATCTGGACTCACAGGTATAACCAAAACTCTTCTGGACAAAACGATTTCGGCAGATGGAGAAGTGTTACATGGAACTACTGTAAGTACATTCAAGATAACTATATTAGCGTTCTAGGTTATTTCGAAGCGCTGGTGAGAAGGCGCAATTTACAAATGCACTTATTTTCCTCTTGTGACTTGCCAGCAGTAAATTGTATCTAGTTATCTGTCTTTCGTCGAGAACTTTTAATCCAAGGTCCGTCCTTATTAGACGAACTGCAAGCAAGACAAGTTAAATATTGGATTACTTCGAAGTTCTGTAGTGCGGTTATTCCCATAGCTCACCTGCACATGGTTTGTTCAGGTTGTCCAAGGTTGGGAGGAGTTTTACCCTGGGGGAGTTTTACCTGAAGGTGGAAAGCAGGAATGCACTCCTGAATACTTTATCAAGGTGCTTTTGATGTTTGTGTGTATATTCGGCTTTGCTGGTGCTCTTGGCTATTTCCTTGAAAGAATGCCAGAAATGGTACCGAAGTATAACACTATCGAGCCATCATAACTGTTAGCGTCCATCAAGACATACCTCCACAATGTTACCTTGTAATTTTCATGTCACTCCCAAGCTTGCATCTGTAGCCTTTGGTCCTCAGGTGTAGTTATCTTTTTTAGTTGTTGTGTTCCTCATCAAAAATCACGCCAGTCACGGAGTGATGTATTTTGAATACCTTTTTGTTCACTTTTATGTTAGAAGTATCCAATCCTTCATTTCTGGACAATGTTACAACAATACTGTAGAGCCTTCAAAGCATGGCACATGAACCATTAATTGGGGCCCTTTGTATGAGAGATTTTGAAGCCAGTGCTCCCGTTCATAGTGCAAATTCGAATAATGAGAACCTGTTTCTTTTTGTCTTCAGCTTCCAGATTCTCTTCTTCTAGCCTAATGTTCAAATTTTCATGCTTTCTGTTAGAGTACAAGTTGCCCTCTCCCATGCTGTGCTGTATGAAGCTGATTCTCCTTCGCTTTGGAAAGTTGTAAATCTTACATGAGCATGTGTATACATGAAATGGCAACAGAATTCATAGAATTTTTCCCTTAATTTCGTGATAAGTAGGCATTGTACGTGGTCCCATTTTGATTAGTACACATGCTGCATCCTGATACAGCTTCCTTTCAGTCTAAAATGGGTCTGAAGTTCCATAATTGTATTCACAGAGGTGATACCACAAAAAATGGTCTAGTCCTTTGTAAGTGGACCAGTTCAGCCTGTGCCCAATAGCATCCGATCCCATTTTTATAATCCTTTCATTCTTCCAATTTACCCTCAGGCTTGGGACTCTCCCACCTCGTATTCTTTGTTAGTTTTGCTCGTTGAACAAATTCCAAGCTAATCAATCAAAAAATAGCATATGTCGGGACTTACCCAATTAAATAAGGTGGGTTGAACTTTCATTGACTCTAAAGTTTGATTGTAAGTCATAGTTTTCATTCATAGGAAGATGACTTTCATAAACCATCCATAGCAATCTTTTAAACATTTCCTTCTATTTTATATTTATATTATTTATAATTTTCAAGGTATTTTTCAAGGTATTTACATAATCTAGAATTCATTAACTCATCCATAATTTAACATTGTGGAAATTCGTGATAGTTAAGATGATAATAAAAAATAAAATATGTTGTAATTTAGATGTAACAAAAAGAGACTAAGATCAAAATTGCTATGCCTACATTTGAATCTATCATACATTTAATGACAAAAAATTATTATTTGTAAAATTAAGAGAAAATGTGTGTTTGTAACTTTGTCAAACTTTGGGGGGAAAATTTACAATTGTATTTTTTTTTGTAACATATTTAAAAGAATAATCTAACAGATATTCATTTTAAATAATGCTTTACAATAAATACTCTATTTTAATATTTTCATCTCATCGTCTGAGTATGCTATTGGTTTTTTTAATGTATATTCCAGTAGTTACCTTAAAGTCTTTGAATTAATTAAAAAGCTTGTAGATTAAGTTTTTTGTCTTAGAAATACTTGGCCTCCTGTAGTAAATAAGCCCAAATCCCATTGAAAAATTATCCAAACTATTTTGCACCTCACTGATCTTATCAACTGCATCCAAAACGTATCCGACAGAAAAAAGATGTCAATTATTTCACATTTTTAAAACTTTAATTCGTTGGTTTTGATAATTCAAAAAATGACTAAATATTTTTAAAATAACATGCACACCACTTTTTCAAAGTTGGATTCTAGACAAACTAAATGTTTTGTTTTGTTTTGTTTTTTTTTTAATTTAATGTAATAAGTTTTTCGTACGTGTGAATTTCATACATATTATAATTAAGATTTGATGCCGACATTGATTATATGTGTCTGATTAACTCTGTAATTAGTAATTATAATTCATTCTCGTTGTCACTGACATAATAGTTAATAAACTAAAGTTTGTTGAGCACCATCTCAAGGTATTGGCATAGTCCTCTAATATGTTTTAATACGTACAGATATATTCAGTACAATTGTAGATGTGTTTTGAAATAACTTATTTCTCCCCAAACACTATTGTTTTCTTTGATTTGGTTAATATGCATTATGTCCATAGAGTATTTAAATTTGCTCATATTAAGGAAAATCAAGTAATAAGTGTTAAGAACTGAAATCAAATATAGAATTACCCTCTAGCCAAACAAAACTTGCTAAGATGTAGTTAAATTTAGCTTATTAGATCTAGTGCAAAATTCTTCAAAAAATAAAAAAATAAAAAATCTATCATCATCAACTCTGAGTAAGTTTAAAATTTTTTAGTTGTGTTTTATAATAAAAATCAATATCTTCTCTTTTCTTAGTTTTATCATTATCTTGTATTGTACAACTTAACCTCAATAAATTTACAAAAAATAGTCTTGTTTTTATTTCTGCATAATCAAATGAATTTTCATCAATTTTAGGATTATATATATATATATATATATATATTTATATTCACAAAATCAATGATAAAAATAATAAATCAAAATTTGATAAATTTTGAATAACCTGGATTGAATTTAATTATATCTAGCCTCAGTTTTATTTGGTCATATCTTATTCTATTTAGTTTTTTATTTTTAATATTTTTATACGTAAAATAAATTTATTGATTGAAATATTATGTTCAAGAAAATTAGTTACTGTAAAAAAAACTCGATTTTATTTTTTATTTGTATTTTTTTTCCTAACCATCCATAGTAAGAGGTGTTGTTTTAGGGTTTTTATTTTATAGTTTTATTATTTACAAAAAAAATATTTTAAAATTATTTTTAAAAAATCTAAGTCGATTTTTTTAATCTTATATATATAATTTAAATTATTCAACTTTTCAAAAATAAAATAAAATAAAATAAAACAACAATATTGCCACCAAATTCATGTAATTGTGATGAATCCCTAATTGTAATTGTAAATTTGTGTAATTGTAAGTATACAACATATCTTTACAAATTTGGTGCTCATCTATAATTAAATATTTTAGATGAATACATCTTATTTTTTAATGTAATTAAATTAGATGTTATAACATTCTATTCCTTATTACTATTGCTAATCTCGTGGCTCCATGCAATGACTTGGTAGTTCCATGTATTGTAGTAGATTGGAGACACTTCATTATTAATTAATTAATTATAAATAAAGCTCAGAAACCTTCTTATACAAGTACAACTAGGTTATCAATTTATGAGCAAAAAATCATCTGACCCAAGATCTGAACACTGGATCGACCATCCTTTGACTTTACATTGCATATTTAATGTTGTACAATATTTGAAAATCAAGAGATTAATAAGATGTTATTAAAGAATTAAGAATAAAAATAAAAATTCTAAACCATTTGAAAAGCTTGAAAAAATTGAGGTGGTTGTTTTCGGTTTATTACTTCATGTTACCACCACTTTATTGATGATCCATAATGCCTTAGTTAGACATTATATATTTTAATTTATTGTTCTTTTTTTATTGAAATGAAAGAAGACGTGGACATCTTTTTGAAATTATATTTTCGTTTAGGCTTGTATCATTACAATACTATAAAAAATATATATATAAAAAAAATTAACATGTAACTATTGAATTAACAAATTCTTAATATGTTTATCAAAATACAAAGTATGTTGTAAATCATGTTGTATACATATTTTATATTTTATATTGTATACAAATAAGTTTATCAGAGCTATTTACCATAATGTTCATTGCTTAAACAGAATATGTTAGTTCACTTATAAATCAATTATTAATATGTTTATCAAAATACAACATCCACCCAGAAGTCATACATTTTTTACAACTTGAGAATGCTAAAAATAAAACACCTCTCATACTAAGTAAGACAAGGCAGGTCTTATATGTATCATAACCTAAGCCTAGGTCTTCTTTTCAATGGGGGGTGGCTATTAAGTATGATATTTATTTATGTGCCTTCATTTAGACCACATAGAAGTTGTAAACATGGGTCTTTGGTATAAGCTGAGTAAATATCCCAACCGGCACCCATGCAAAGCTTCATCGCTCATTAATAAACACCAAGAGTTAATAAAAAGCTGTAAAGTAGGCTTTGGTTGTAAGCTTTGGTGCTACATGCTATTGAATATGGGACGTCATTCTTGAGACTACCCATCGCCAGAGAGAAAGCAGTTGCATGTCCGTACTTTAACTACACTATGGTATTGATTTTGGAAACACCACAAAAGAAATTTTCTGGATTATACAAGTAAATGTGTTACATGCATTGATCATTTTTGTTTAGTTTTTTAAAGAGAAGTATAGAGGCACTGTTTGAAGATAAGATTATTTAGTAATTGCATTTGTATTATTGAGAGGCAAGATTGCACAACATGGGTTGTTTGATATTAGTACAATGTACAATGTACAATGTAATATGACATTCAACTTTTGTGTTAAAGCTGTATTAAACACACAAATTTATGTTGAATACATTGATTAACATTTAAGTGCATCGGATTTGGAACATTGTTCAGAAAGAGGTTGTGATATTTACACAAGAAGCTGTACACTTTATTGTGCAAGATGTTAGACTAGAACAAAGTCCGGCAACAAACATGAACCTTTTTCTCACAAATTTTTTTAAAAAACAATACAAATAGTAAATAACAAATAATTGTGAAGTTAGAGAAGGATTTTATTTTTTGCTTAAACAAAGATTGTGAACCCACCACCAAATATTTTTTCATGCTGCACAACACAACAAGATAACAATCTATTTGTAAGCACTGGATTAAGTCTGCTAATCAACAAAGAATAATACCCATACCTTTGAAAACATAAAGAACAGGAAGCATCATCAATAGCGGTATTAATTTGATGACTAGTGCCATAATTTCATAACCCACATTACAGATGATGATGAGTTGATTTTGCTGTTCTGCAAAGATGAGAGCAGAAAGTCTGACACCCTCCTTTATTGATATTATTAACCAATTATGAATATATAACTGTATTTTTGTTTTTTAAACTCCCTAACCATTTTTACTAAAATGACTCAATGAAAACAGAATTTCATCTGACACCAACAAGTAAACTACTTTTTCGTTTTGCTTTTGATTCTGTCTTTTTCACTTTTGTGAGTTCATGTTGAGGATCTTTTGGTGACATGGACACACTCTCACTTCCAATGCTTGGGAATAGCTCCCTCTTTGTTCACACATCACTTCCAAATGGCTCTTTCTCCACACATATAAACAAACAAACAAAACCACCCTCCTTCTCGTACATTTGTACACATGTATAATTTCTTAATGAAATCATGGAAGAGGATGAATTTGATTTTTCCACATAGTGGAAATACTAATCATATACAAGTGTTGTTTTTGTCATTCATGTATGTATATATATATATATATATATATAATAGT